CACCCCTCGCCCCGTTAGGCCCACCGCAACAAGCAGGAGTGAACCCACGAGGCCTTGCTCCTAATAAACTATGGCAAGTGGACGTCACCCACATTAATTCCTTTGGTAAACTTAGGTTTGTCCATGTGGTGGTAGATACTTATTCAAAGGCTGTATTTGCAACAGCCCAATCCTGAGAAAAGGCTAGTAACGTGATAAAGGCGGTTAAATCAGCCATGCTGGTCCTTGGTGTCCCCTGGACCATAAAGACTGATAACGGGCCAGCGTATACATCACAGGAATTTAATTCCTTCCTGAAATCTTGGAACATACAGTCTGCCACAGGTATTCCATACAACCCACAGGGACAGGCAATCATTGAAAGAACTCATAGGAAGATTAAAGATCTCTTACAAAAACAAAAAAAATCATATGCCCTCAGACCCACAGCTTGCTTTGACTGAGGTCCTTTTCACTATCAATTTTCTTTTGATTCCCAAGGGATCAGCCCAGCTTATAAACACTGGGGATCCTTTCCATCCCAGACCCCAGCCCCTATGGGTAGGTGGAAAGACCCCCTGACAGGAGAATGGAAAGGACCACACCCTCTGCTAACCAAGGGTCAAGGATATGCTTGTGTCTTTCCAGAGAATGCGGAACAGCCCATTTGGGTACCAGCCAGAAACATCAAGCCTGCAACTGACAGCCAACCAGAACCAGCTGAACAAGACTGAGAGTCCGCCTTGTTAGCAGATGCACCTGCCCTATCATCCTACCCTGAGAAACTGCCCATAGCCACATCTGTTACTGTTTTGTACCCCACTAGCTCTGGTCAGCCACTCAAATGGCCCACAGCCTGTGTGCGGGCATGATTCCTGATAACCATTATTCCTCATTCCTACCCCTATCTGAGCAAGCAATCCTGTGGTCTCTCGATTTGAGCGCTGGTTAGTCAATGACGGGTAAGATCCCCTGGGGCACAACCTAAGACAGGCACAGCTGCGTACGGAGACCACATGGAAATGGGTCAACAATGGTATGGCCAAGAATCATGCCTCCCATTGCTCAAAAATAAATGAAAAGGGGGAAATGTGGTAGAATGAGAAGGCCATGCCAAGGTGGCCACTGGCAAGCGCGCGTCAGTTACTCAGGAATGGCTTTGAAACCCACCTGGCAACGGAGCCTGCCTGGCAACAGGCTGTGATTGGATGGCTTTGGAAACTGCCTGGCAACAGGCTGTGATTGGATGGATTTGAAACTGCCTGGCAACAGGCTGTGACTGGTTGGGGCATAGACCGCCCCTTGACCAGATTGGCTGGTCTTGGCTATATAAGATGTTGTACCAACTGAAATAAACGAGTCTGCGGGCTGCTCACCTCAAGCCTGCTTTCACCCGACTCCCAGGGTCTGTGTGGTGACTCCAAGCCTCTTGCCCCCACCACGCTGCTCCTCTCAGAAACGAGTCCATTGCAATTGTTGAGAAATCAACAGCAACAAGGCAGGTGAGGGTCACCTCAGATGTTTTTAAAGGGCCAGGTCTAGAAGTGGCTTCACTGGCCATACACACACACACGCACACACACACACACACACACTCACTCGTTCTCTCTGCCAGATTCCAGATGCATGGGGCCAGCTTAGCTCAGTGCTGGCGGTGCGAGCTGTGTCTGGCACTCCCGTGTGAATCGGTGGCATCGTCTCTGCCACACTTAGGATCCATCCTAGGAGAGCGAGCCCTGCCTGGGAGACAAGCGCCCAAGCCCTGGCGCTGCAGACTTCCACGTGCAGAGACTGCTCTCAGAGCTGTCCTGGGAGGCTCCCGACCTGATTGACAGGGAAGGCGGGGCATTTTCTCGCTCCAGTGCCTCCATGGAATTGTCCCCTGGAGGACTCAAGGTCTCCATGTCGGAGGTCCACCCGACCTCCTGGAAGTGTTTAGCAATTAAGAAAAAGAAATAAGCGCTTGTTGGTGTATTCATTCAGTACACAGGTACTAGCACCTGTCCATGCCGGACACCAGCTCAGTGCCGAGGCTACAAAGATAAGGACCTGGAGCCTGCACTAAGATGGCAGAGCACAACAGCTGTGCTGCAGGTGGGAGCTAGATGCCTGGGGGCTGGAGGAAGGACCAAGGGGCAGTGCCTGGGCTGAGTCACAGAAGCCAGGCCTTAACCAGGGGCAGGGGCAGACCTCATTCCTGGCAGAGGAGCAGCACGGGCTTGGACACCAGGCCGAGACAGGGGACATACGGTTTGCAGAAGCCATGAGATGTTAGGAATGATGGCGTGGCTCCTCTGGGGCTGCAGGGAAAGCAAGGTATGCAGGACCCCAGGTGTCTGCTGGGCCACCCAGCAGAGGCAGGACCCGGTTCTCAAAGAGCAGATGGAAAGCAGCAAAGTAAAGCATTGCGATTGCGTGGGAAAGCCAAATGGGCCCTTGGTGGAGGAAGGGACAGGAGGGCAAGCTGGGGCAGGAAGACAAGCCGATAACCGGCCAGGGGGAGTGAAGGCAGGAAGGGCTCGGTGAGCGGGGCTGGTCGGGGATAGGGACGGGAGGGCAGGAGGCAGAGTGCAACCGTAAGCCAGGTGGCAAGGTTTAATAAGGTCGTGCACCCATCAGCACGGTGGGCGCCTATCCAGATGATGCTGCGCAGCCCAGTCTGCCCTCAGACTGTGGTTCATAAGGATACGGAATCCACTTCCTCCCACCCTCTTCCCCATGTGGATCGGTGGCATCGCCAGAGGGGTTCCTGGGTGTGAAACGTGAAGTTCCTCCCAAGGTGTTGTTACCAACGCTATCAGACTGGGTAGCCCATCGGGCAGAGAGGATTCTCCTGGGGTGGTGGGGGAAGGCTGGAACCAGCTATAAAGTTACTGGGGTATGAGCAGGACTTTGTAGTGTAAAATGCTCAGCTGCTCCCGAGGCTGCTACCTGCCCCTCAGTAGGTATTCGTTTTCCTTAGGCCCCTCGCACACAGGCTAATTTCTGTCTTCCTGCCTAGCAGCTCCAGAGACAGAGAGGGAGGCAGATGTGAGCTGGAGCAGTGGGATCTGAGGCCCCACTGTGGAGCAGGGCGATGAGGATGGAGCTGGAGAGCTGGGCTGGCCCTCCCTGAGAGAAGGAATTCCCCAGGATGGTGTCTGGGCGAAACAATGAGTTCATTTGGGAGCTGTGATGACTGGGGCCTTGGGGACAGCCAGGTAAGCTGCAAGCAGGCTGTGGGACAGGGGGGACAGTGCTCCAGAGAGAGGAGGCTCAGAGGTGCAATCCTGGGAGCCGTCAGTGAGGAGGTGCAGCTCACCCAGGGAGAGTGAGGGAAGAAGAGGATGCAGCCATAGGGAGACCCCAGGTTTGCAGGATGGGCCTAGGAGTCTGTAGAGGGCCGGTGGGAAAGGGGCTGGGAGAGAGATGAAGGCCACAGAAAACACGGAAGAAGGGCCCAGAAAGAGTGAGATCCACCACACATGCGGGGGGAACGAGAAGCACACGGGTGTGACTATCCCATTGGGTTTACCGAGCAGGTGGTCCATGCCCTCGGTGAGGATGGCCCCATGGAGAGGCCAGAGCAGGAGCCACCCAGGCGCAGGCTGCAGAGTGAGCTGGGGGAAGGAGCTGGGTTCAGACAGCTCTCAGGAACCTTGGTTGCAAAAGTTGGTGGCACGATCAAGGGAGGCATTGATTTTTATTTCTTAAGCATGCACTATTGAGTGAGGTTCTTTTTTTTTTTTTTTTTTTTGAAACAAGAATTTCTGTGACATTGTGGAAGCCGGGAGGCATTGTGACAATGAGATAACTGGCCCAGCTGCAGGGGTAGTGGTGAGCTGTGCCTCGGGTGGGCAGCAGACTCAGCCCAGGACGCAGGTAGGACGGAGGTCTGCTCCGTGCACTGGTGCAGAGCACAGTGGTTCCCAGAGCCAGGCCCTCCACACAAGCAGCACCTGGCAACTGCACACAAAATTAGCCCCTGAGCATGGATGTGCCAGAGTGCAGAGGACCAGGCATTAGAGGTGCTGCTAGCGCTCAGTGGGCTGTCCACCAGCCAGCAATGGTCAAGATGGGAAAGGCACTCACAGCCCAGCCTGGAAGTAGCTGGAGAATAAAAGGAGCCAAAGAACACCTGTACTGTCTGGACTGCGGCCGGCGCTGTGGGTGTGACCGCAGGGCAGAGCCCCGGCCTCAGTATCCCATCCGTGCCCTGGCCTTGCCGCACTCTCTCCTGTCCCCGCCGCTCCGTGGCCCCTGCCTCTGCTTTCCCCACCGAGGGGCAGCCAGGCCGGTCACGAGAACGCCACCTGGGGTGCAAGGGCTCCGTGGCGACCCTGGGGGCCTCCTGTCCAGGTCCTCAGGCAGCCGTGTGGGGAGGTCTGGTGACCAGAGGCCTGGGGCTGGGGTGCCCCCAGTGGAGCTGCAGGGTTGTGGTTAAGAATTCAACTCCCAACGCCTTCCCAGGCCGGGCTCCTGCGCCCCTCCTCTGGTTTCAGACCTCCCAGGCTCACTTATTCCCAGGAAGTCCCCTCGGCCATAGGTGGGGGCCAGCCCTGCCCTCCCCTCCATACCTCACAGGAACTGCCAAGTGCAAATGAGCGTTACGTGCAGGGCCTTGAGCACCAGGGAGCGGGCCTGCACACGTGGCTGCGATTTCCCTGGAAGAGTGCACGGCGTCATTTTTTTTTCATAGTGGGGAATAGGAGGGAATAAAACCCAGGCCATTACTCAATTGTGCTGGTCCGTGTCATTCAGGGCGCTCTGACGTGGCCCCTGAAAATGCGTGGCTTTTCACCTCAGCCGGATTCAAAGCTTTCCTCCTGCACACGTGCCACGTGCTGTGGACAAATCCCTGATAACTGGGAAGTGAGTAACTAATGACAAAGTCTCTGCAGGTTTGCCATGCCTGGGACTCGAACTCGTGCCACGACGGAGCCCAGAGAGGGGGCCCAGGGGCCCCGTGGCTGCCAACCATCTCCACTCCCGCAGCACCATGGTGTGTCTGACCCACCGTCCTCTCTACTCTGTGCCTGCAGGTCCGGGCTCTGTTCCCCTGCGAAAAGCCTCCGCGGCCCACCGAGATGTCCCGGCACCACAGTCGCTTCGAAAGAGAGTACCGGGTGGGCTGGGACCGGCGCGAGTGGAGCGTGAACGGCACACATGGGACCACCAGCATCTGCAGCGTCACATCTGGGGCTGGGGGTGGCACAGCCAGCAGCCTCAGCGCCCGGCCCGGCCTCCTGCCGCTGCCCGTGGTACCCTCCCGGCTGCCCACACCCGCCACGGCCCCGGCGCCCTGCACCACTGGCAGCAGCGAGACCATCACCAGCCTTGTGGCCAGCTCTGCCTCTGCAGTCACCACCAAGGTAAGACTTTGGCTCCTCTCTGGGCAGGAGCTGGGCGCCAGTGACGTGGGTTTGCAGGGAGATGCCAAGGGGCAGTGAGGGGGCAGAACGGCTCTCAGCGTCCCCGTCTTGACTGCAGGACTGAGGGGGTCTCACCCCGTGGTCCCCTCTGAGCCTCCCAGTGACGCTGGGAGCACAGTCCTCTATCCTCCCCACCCAACAATGGAGGATGGTCCAAGGCCACAGGGCCCATCTGCGGTGGATCCAGGACTGGCACCATCACAGGCCTGCAGGCCACTGCTCCAACCTAGGGAAAGGCGGCTACAACCTAGGGAAAGCTGCGGTCTGTGTCACCCAACTGGCTGTGTCGCAGGGCTGTGCCTGGCTTTGAGCCACACTGGTCTCCCTGGTGCTTGCTGCTCAGAGCGCCTCGGGCCTGAGGCCTGGAGGGCCGGCCCCTGGCCACAGCAGGAAGCCCATTCATCCCCGTCCAGGCTGCCTCTGCGTGTGTGCCGTCCATTCAGTGCTGCCTCCCAGGAAGCCTGGCCAGGCCAGCCTGCGTGTGGGAGCACACGTGTGCAAGTGTGTGTTTGTCTATGTGTGTGTGTATGTCTCATCTTTTCTTTTCCTGCGTTCATAAAAGTTGCCAGAGAAATGAAAGGCAAGAAGCCCCAGCCCGGCCATTGTGAGCGGCTGTGGCGCTGGGCGGCGCGCTCCAGGTGTGCAGTGCCTTTGTCGTCGTGGTTCTCCAAGCCCCCTTTCAGCGCTGCTGCCAGGGAACGTCCGAGTGTGCCGGCCACAGAGCTTGGCCAGGCCGAGACAATGGAGCTATTGCAGGCCGGCGCACAGCGCGCTGACATCTCGCCATAGCGCCTTATTGATTTATTTTCCTGTTATGAAAACACCACCCCACCGAGGCAGGCAGGGAAGGAATGGCGGGCAGGGGAGATGAAGGATTATTTGGGCATGCTGCCCCCAGCCCAGCCCAGCCCACTGCTCCCCCTGGGCGCCAGCTCCCAGCACTGCTCCCGTGCCGTGCCATGACCGCTGCCCCCTGGAGCCAACCCTGGCCCACCAGCCACATCTGGCAGGAGCTCCCCAGCATGGCAGGCTCGGGGGCTGGGCACTGACGGCTCCGGGTGGGAGATGGAGGCTGGATTCGGGACACCCACTTGCTGGTGGATGCCTTTTAAGGGACAGCGTCAGGCTGCTTCTGGGGGCAGCTCTCCAGCTGTGCCAGGCAAGGAGGTGCAGGGGACTGAGTGCCCTCAGCTCCCCGGTGGGGCTGCCCTGCCCACTTGGCTCCTGCTTTGCCCCAAAGCAGCTCGGCAGTCGCCATGCCTCACTGGACAGGCCCCAAACCACAGCCACGTGGGAGGACTGGAACCCAGGCTCAGACAGAAAACAACAGCAGGACAAGGCCTGGGAGCGGGGGTGGGGGTGAAAGAGAGTTCAGGCTGCAAGCGCAGCCAGTTCCTTGGTGTGTGACGACAGAGGAGTAAAATTCCACGTCCGTCTCTCGCCCATCTGCAGCCCGTCTCCTTCCTGCAGCGGTTTGTTGGGTGGAACGGAAGTGCCGGGTTTCACCCTGGCTTCCTAGGGGTGCTTGGGAGGCCAGCAGCCCACGGCAGCTCCACCCAGGACACAGCTGCTCCATCTGGGCCACGATGCCTCCTCACTGCTGCCCACCCAGAGGCCTGTGTCCCAACCTGTGTCTTACCCATGCCAAGATCACATCACTTGCAAGGCAGGCCCAAACCCGGGTGCCTGGGTCTCTTACCCTCGGGGAGCTCACGGGCCAGTGGGTGACATATATGTGGCCTGGCAGTGTGACCAGGGGGCCTGCTGCTGTTGGAGTTATTGGCAGAGGAGGGTTTGGTGGAGTGGATAAAGCCAGACTTGGAAGACGGGCTGCCTGGATTTGAATTCCAATCCAGTGCTGGCTAGCTGAGTGACCCTGGACAAGTCACCTAACCTATCAGGACCTCATGTCTGTAAAATGGGAAAAGGAAATAGTCCCTGACTGCCCAAGTCACGAGGATCCAAGTCATGAGTGAAAACAGGTGCAGAATCCTGAGGACAGAACAGAGCCTGCCAGTAGTCAGTCCCACCCGGACGCTGTGGTCACTCCATGCCGCTGTCACCGGATGCAGGTGGGCTGGGTGTGGGGCCCAGCACTGCCCCCTGTAAGGACAGGGTTCATTTCCAATCTCATCAGGCTCAGGCTTCCGAAGACAGGAGCCAGAATCCCAGCAGGCAGGAAAGGGCGCTGTGCTGGGGAGGTCGGGGCTCAGGGGTGCTCTGGGGAGGAAGGCAGCTCGTGTGCCCCCACACAGAAGGAGAGTCAGCAGGAGGAACGCCACAGCGTTTCAACCTCAGGGCCCTTTCCTGAAAGGAGAGCCGGGAGCCCACAGAGCTGGCCCCTGCTCTGCGGAAGTGGGGAGGGGCAGAGCTGGGAGGCCAGCTGCCCCGGAGTCGGATGAAGGCCTGGCTTCCTCCATGAAGGACTCATGCCCTGTTTGGGCCAGGGCACCCGCGGGAACTCTGGGAAAGGTTCCCCAAGAAAGGGGCCTCTGGGCCAAGGACCAGCTCTCAGGCTTTAATGCCCCCTCCTTGGCTGGGCAGGGAGCAGGGCGAGGGCCGCGTGCTGCACGGGTGGGTGACAGCCCCAGCATCCAGTCCTCACCCCTTCCTCCCAGCCCCGGGGCCTGGTGCCAGCCCATTCCTAGAGCTGGGACTGCTTCTGCCAGGCCCGCGGGAACAGCTACAGCTCCCCGGGGTGGGGGAGGCTGGCTGTGCCCCCTGCAGCCACTTAGCAACAGGCTGACACTCCTCTCTGTCACTGCTGCCCTCAGGCCTGAGCTGATGTTCCTGATTCTTCGTTGTCTGTGGCCAGAAGAGTTCTTGCATGTCTTTGGTGTAAACACAGACTCCTGAACCATGGAGGCACCACGAGGGTCCAGCAGGCTCCCCTTCCCCGCCCCTCAACACACAGACGCACCCACCTTGCTCAGGCCAATAGACAATGTCCCCCCGGGTTCTGAGAGGGGCATAGAGACCACGCCATCCAGCTGCCTCAGGTGTGCAGTCAGAATGGCACGGCCCAGAGAAAACACTGCTGGCCGAGGCCACCGAGTGAGTTAGGACCAGAACCCCCGGGCCAGCTCCTCCCCGTACCCAGGCTGCCTGGCAGAATGCGCTGTCCATGGTAACGTGGCCACAGCCGCCTTCTGCTAACTCCTCCTTCCTCTCATCCACCTGGCTGCCAGCAAACAGCGGGTTTCCCACCACAAAATGTACACATTTGCCTCTTGTGGGATACGTGGGAAAATTTAAGCCAGCTCTGTCGACTCAGAGCGGCACAACAGGTGACCACTTCAAGCTCTTGAGTCAGACGGAACTGGGACAGATGGAATCCCAGCTCTGCCACTGAGCTTCAGTCTCTTCCTCTATAAAATGGGAACACCATCTTCCTCTCGGGACTGTGAGGATTGGTATGTGTGGAGAAGCTTAAAACGGTGCCCTCCGCTGGGTAAGCAGTGAAACTCCATAAAAGCTGTGTTGCAGAGTTAGCATAGGCAGCGGGCATTTAGCCTAGCAGCTAAGATGCCCCCGCCCATGTCGCAGTGCCCGAGTTCAGTTCCTGGCTCCAGCTCCTGACTCCAGCTTCCTGCTTATGTGCACCTGAGATGCAGCTGCTGCTGGCTCCAATGCTTCAGTCCCTGCCACTCAGATTGAGTTCCTGGCCCAGACCCTGTTACTGTGGGCATCTGGGAAGTAAACCAGTAAATGAAGATCGGTATCTCTCTCTCTCTCTCCCTCCCTCCCTCCCTCCTCTCTTCTCTCCCTGCCCCCCCCCATCTCTCAAAATAGAAAAAAAAAGTAGCTTGCTTCTAACCAAGTATCCATATGTTGGAAGGGGAGGGAGGCAGACAGACACCCAGGTGGTTGGTGCTAGGAAAGGTATCTGTCCCCTTCTGATGCCCTGAGAAGTGGGACAGCGCACGCCTACCCCTGCCTGCCTGGCCCCTGGCTCTCCGGCAGCTGCCTAGCCAGCAGGTGCTGCTGAGAAGCAGAATCCTGACCCCAGCACCGGCCCGTCCGTGGGATAGGAGGGGAGTGCGGATGCCTGGCAGTTGCTGCTGCGTGAAATCTAAATTATTCTCAGCAAACCTGCTTGACAGATGAAACAGAAAAAGGACGGCTTCATAAAATGCAATTTTGTCCCTGCAAGAAGGGAGCCTGCAGAATCCTCGCTCCGTCCGCACCGTGATTCCGGGGCTTTTCTTTCGCTGTGGTCAGGAGCACTCATGCTCAGACGTTCCCGTTGTCCCTCTGAGCTAAGCCTGGAAAATAAATCTGACAGTGAAGCGAGCAGCTCAGCCTGTGCAGAGGCCCAGAGAGGGCCAAGAGGGGCCGTGAAATCGGGGCTGTGGCTCCGAGCACCCGGAGCTGCTTCCTGACCTTTGAGAGCCTGCAAAGCTGTCAGGCTGGGTCCTTGTCATCATGGGGGGACTTCAGAGACGCAGCCTTTCCTGCGGACCCCAGCTTCTCTGGAGAGAGGCCTTCCCAGGGGAGAGGGTGTAGAATGTCCATAGGGATCCTGTGGAGGACAGCGAGGCCATGGGAAACCCAGCGTGCGGTTCTGGGACCTGTGAATGAATGAGGGATGCCTCCGCCCACAGGGGACCTGTGAATGAATGAAGGATGCCTCTGTCCACACCCCTGTTCCTCTTCTCTTGATGTTGATAATCAAAAGCCACCGAGTGGGCTCAGTGAGGAGAATGGGTCGAGCCCTTTTCCTGGGGAATTGTCAGATGTGCATGATTTTATCCCAAAGTCGTTGCTTGCTCCATGAACAAGACTTTGTGACTTCCCTTGCGATAAATTATCAGCCCCCAGTAATGCATTGTGAGATGACCTGAGTGTGTTAGTACTGAGCTAATGGCTTTTACCTGCACTTTTAAGTCGCAGTTACAGCTTGTGTTGTATCTTCATTGGCTTCAAACCCATCTGCCAAT